ATTGACTCAATTGACCTTGCGTTTGGTCATGCCGACTTATGATATATATTATATTTATATTTATATATCATAAGTCGGCATGACCAAACGCAAAACTTTTTTTTATTATTAATCTTGCTTGATATCTTCTTTTACAGTTTGGAAAATTAGGCCTTGTATAAATAAAATTCGCAGCTATTTTCTGATTTCTTTTTAAAATTTCTCCTTTTTTATATAATTTTTATAAATTTTTCGGAAAACAATTTTAATTATAACTTACAAAGTTTTTAGCATCCCCTTAAATTAGGTATATTTCTAGGCATATCTGAAAAAATTAGAGTTTTTTATTCGTAATTTCCGAAGATGAAATGAATTTAAAACAGCAGACTTACCTAATAATTAGTATAACACATTTCCATCATTTCCTGAAATAATATAGTTTTAATAAACTTAACAACAATTTTCAATGTTACTTAGTTTGCTATGTAATTTAAGCTCTGTTTTGATACATTTTTAAGAGTCTTCAACCATCAAAATATTTTATAGTCTATTTTAGATATGGCTTAAATTCCTTTTCCACAAAATGAGCATATAATAACCTGTTCATCCTTCTAGAAATTAATTTTTGCGTTCATTTACGTATATTTAGATAAAAGTACTTTTAATCGCATTGGGGGATATAAAAATACTACCAATTACCTCTTAATTGCTTTATTGCTTTTCACCAATACCATGCTTATATCAGATTTCCCCAACAAATACAACTTAAAGTACATTTTCATCCGCAATAATAATGCTAACTAAGACACAGCTTTTTATAACCGGCATTAAATTATGTTGTCGCGTATTTTAATTCGCTGTAGAATTCGTCACGTAAATCAGAAATCCTGCGCTCCTTACTTCTCAAAGATGCAAGAAAGACCCTCGATTTTCTTCACGTTCAGTAAAGAAAATATGAAAAACCATTTTTCAACAGAAAACTTTCATAATAACTTTTCTTTGTGAAAAAGTAACTTTATGAATTGTCTAGCTAAAATTTCCAAATGCAGCTTACATATTTTAATTTTTATTTCTTTGAAGAAAATATTTTCGTGACAATTACTATTCAGCACTTTTCCAACTCGTTCAATCAAAGCTTAATAAATGCTACTCTAGGTAATAAAAAAAGAATCTGGAAGTCAAACGCTTGTAAGTTTCTCATCACCACAAAATATTGCAGTTTTTGTTTACTTTCGCTGGCGGTTATTACCTAAAAGCAATTGCGGAACTCGTATCATTTATAAAACTTTCCCCTAGAGTTTCATGCAAAGAATTGTGTCATTTTTTCACTTGATATTATTGGCTACTGTTTTCTTTCTCTCTTTTTTTGAAATACGAATAGCAATGGAGAAATCGACTGTAACATAGCAGAAATAAATCAAAATGAATGTTACAGAAAGGAAAGCAAAAAGACGATAAAACACGTATTTCGTTTTCTTAAAGTATGAGAATGTCTACCCTTAACTGCGCATAAAATAAAAAAAAAAAATAATCAAACTGAAGCTTAAACATTATTTCTAAATAAAACATAAATTCATCCTGGCAATATGCATATGAGTATGAATTATTTACACAAAACATCAGACGCTATATCGAAGCTAAATAAGACATGATCTTGATACGTTTTAAGACATAGTAGCTGGTTGTTTGCTTATACCAGTCGTTATAGTGAAGTTTAGAAATTTCTCAAATATTAATTATATTAGGTTAACCACATTATAAATTAGCTGGCACTTTTATCATCTAATTTAGAGTTTAATAGAAAAGGATTACGTTTTCAAGATGAATAATTTTTTAATTAAATAGTCTGGCTCTAAAACTCATATGTAATTATTTACCTACGCTATTGAAACCTGTGCGAGGTAAATTTCGAAATTTACTCTCCGGATTGCGAAAATTCTGGAAAGCCATTTCGATGATTCTCATCTTCGTACGACTTTAATCAACCGAGACATTAAATGCAAACTCAGAAAAAGCTAATTTTCGTCTTCATTTTTCCAAGTAGCAACAGTCTCGTACACTGCAGATTAAAAATATACTTTATTTCGAAAAGTGATGCCAAATCGTTCAAACCGTTAAAACCGTAGTAGAGTTTGTTAATGATTTTTTTTTTTTTATTTTACAAATAAGAAATAAAAATAATATTGCCAAACATTATATATATTAGTTCGAATTTCAAAAATTCATAGAAAGCCATTTTAATAATTTTCATCTTCATACAATTTTAATCAGCCGAGATATTAATTAAAAACTCTGCAAACACTAATTTTCGCACTCATTTTTTCAAATGGCAACACTCTCCAGCGTTGGAGATAAAAACCAAGGAGGTTAGAATAGAAGGAGGGATGGTTCGCAGTTTCCTCCACTATCGGGGAATGAAACTCCGCCGAACAAGCGGCGTCCATGTTTGTGACTTCAAAACATTGCATTACGGCAGTGACACGTAGTACATGTTTCTAAGCTGTTCCGTGCATTTATTTTCCAGTAAAAATTATTTTAAATTTATAATGAAATCCCCCGCTATTGTTGAATTTTTGTTTTAAAGTAATAAAGATGATATCCATAATTTACTATGTACAGCAAATTGTTAAGATAATCTAGTTCGAAATCTCCAGTGCATTGCGCATACACACATTCTCTAAAGCCTTTCAAAAATGGAATGTTTCTGCATATTTCACGTGATTCGCTTAGGTTTCAGAACTACATCAATCTTAATAAAATAAAACAGAATTCATTGATTTCAGTTTATGCGCATTCCCGCCATAGCACATTAATCTCAAAGAAACTGCGGGGTTCTTTAATTAAGTTGAATTACAGAATTACACCTATATATGTTTTTGGATACATCTTTCCACATGTTCAAGTGTGTGGTAAATATTTACTTAATTTTATCACTATACTGCTCAGAAATTTGTAAATTTATGCAAACAATTTTTAACAGAACATTTTATCCTGATCAAGTGCACAAATTATATTCATAGCAGTTCACAAAGTTTATCTTAAAAAAATGAATAATAATTAATATATTAACAAAAGCGTTTGCTTTATTTAACACCTTTACAATTCAATAAAAATAGTAACAAATTGATTTCTTACTTTTCATGAAAATTATAAAACGAATTACCTAAAAACGTTCAAATTATACAGTTTGAAATCCTTAACCATATATCATTGTATCTTAAGGAACGAAGATACCAGGTATTAACAGAAACATTAAAATGTATTTAATATATTTTGATTATAGTTATATTAAACAACCTATTTTAAGTCCTTTTTTTCACATCTGGAAAGAAAACCACATGACATTGTGATATTTTTTGACATAGTTGTCATATCACATAAAAAAAAAGAAAATTAATACTTACGTGTGAAAAATAATGCCCGGAATTTTTTTCGAGAATCTATTTGTGCATCCATATGCAATACAAGCTGACATGCTTCAAAAAGAAAAGAAAAAAATGTTGCAATGACAGACTTCCTTGTACAAGTCACGGTGATAACAGGAAGTTGGCCGCCAAGCTTCACCGTTTGAGTTGAATCTTTCCTCCTTCTATTCTAACCTCCTTGATAAAAACCTGCTTCAATTCGAAAAACGTTGCCACTGTTTGCTTTCAGATCGCAGAGTTTCTTAATAAAATACTAGTAAGTTTTACAAAATATGAAATAAAAATAGCATTGCCAAACATTAAATATGTTATTATTATATAACGTCATATTCTGACGATGAAGAAAGCACGCGATTGCATGTCGAAATCGTTTCGTTATTGTAATATTTAATAACTTGTAAATGGCAACATTTAATATTTAGTAACTTGTAATTGGAACAATTTGGATAGATATATGAAAATAAAACTATGCTGGTATTGAAATTCTCTGTAATATAATATATTCTATGATTATAAATAAATAGTTTCTAAAAACTAAAAGTGCACCTTCATTATTTTGGCGCTACTTACGGTCGCACGGATTTTTGGCGATTTACGTTGGCGCAATTGTTGGCGCGGTTTTTACAATCGTCAGCCATACTAAAAAACTTTTTTTTTACGTATTTTAAACAAAGTATTCGAAACTATAAAAAAATTAATATCGTTAAAAGTAACGGATAATTTTTAGTTGAGAAGTTGTTTTTTAAGATAGCAGGCAAATGTAAATAAATACATTTACTATGAGTATAAAATACTAAAGTAAGGTTATTATTACTTTCCTATAGCAAGGAAATAGAATAAAAACAGCGCTATAAAAATATTTCTGTAGCGTTTAATTGGATTAAAATATTACTTAAATATCAAATTATAAACATCATACCAACGTTTAAAAGAATTAAAATAGTACTTACATTCACATCCTTTAAAATAAGTTTAATAGGATATAATTATTTAACATTAAAACATATGTGGCAATAAATATCTCGGCAATTTTTGAAAACAGTGTATTAATGTTTTTAATAAAATTGAAGTATACAATTATAAAGTAAAAGAAAAATATGTACTTACATTTTTTTGATTATTTAACCTGTCGTATATTAATAAGAACCACAAAAAAATCGGAATCATAATTTAGATATCAACGAAAAAAATTGAAAAATGTATTACAATTTAAAAAATGTAATCTAAGGGAAAAAATTTGTAAAAATATATGAAAAATGTAATCTAAGGAGTTCGAAGAGATGAATAATAAAATTTTAAAATGGCGCGGTAATGCACAAATATTCGGTAACCAATCAAGGAGCTGATTACATTACGAATAGAATTAAAATTATTTAAGTAAATCATACATAATAAAATCATTTTTAAAAAAATGCAAAAATAAATTGTATTTTAATATTTAACAGCAATAAATAATGTTTAAAACATTAGATTAAATCTATAGATATTAAAACCAATTACTTTTAAAGTGTCGTTCATACATCATCCACAACATAAAATTACATAAATTATCTTTAAAAATAAAATTTTTATTTCAAATCCTATTTATACGCTTATATTGATTTTTAATATTTAGAAGCCATAAATAATATTCAAAACACAGAATTTATGCATAACACAATGCATTATTATTTAAAAATGACAAGAAAGTATCGGTTGCTATAAATAACTTGTCTAGCAATGAGTTTACCATAAGTCGTATCGCTTGCCAAAAAAAAAAAAAAAAAGAAAAAATCGCCAAAATCCGTGCAGTCGTCTACCAAATTAGCACCATTATTTAATATTTATTATCAGCATTTTAAATAAGGAGCTGCTATTGGCAACGTTTTTGTTTCAGAAAAGTATAATTGACACGGTATGTTATTGCGTACGTTAATTTGTTTTCTATATTACATTAAATTTAAATCATAACGTCATGCGTATTTGTGTTAACTTGAGGAGTCAAAAGGTTTTGTTTCCTGGTTTAGCAATAAAAAATTATTTATGAATTGGTTATTCCTTGGAAAGGTTGAACTGATTTCATTCATAATGAAATGTTTTTGCGCATTTCTTTTCAGGTGCTTATAGAACTTGTAAATTTGCTTTGGCCGCAGCCCGCTCATCCGGCGGGCTTGCCACTTGGTAGTATTATAAAATAAGAAGCAAGTGTTTTTATTCTGGAAAATTTTGTTGAAGTTCAAACGATCCTATATCTATTATGCAGGATAGTTTTCCTTTTCAATATTTCCTTACAGTTAGATTATAACATATTGCTTTTTTCACTCTAATAATAGTCTTTGACTAAACAAGATATTAAATAAAAATGATGAATATTACTTATAAATCATTTTAACTTTGAGGCTAAGGTGCTTCGTAACAATACGTCAATATTATCTTCATTTAAATAAATAATTATTACATTGTTAAATTCAACTATCTTTACTTCTGATATCATCATTTCAAAATTTTGCCGCATTATATAGAAAGGTGTCTGGATTTAAACGTACTACTTACACAAATTAAAAACTATCATTTTTTAAATTATAAGTTCCTTTGAATGGTATTGAAGAAAATGCCTGAAAACTTCAATCATATCCGCAAGGTTTTATTCGATGTGTGTTTGTCCTTAAGATCATTACTTCAGATCAGTATAAAAATTACATTTTTAGCTAAATGCAATATGCAGTGTTATTCTTTACACCAGAGCTTTACTTCTTTTTTTCCCGTGAAATTTTGGCATTAATTTCCTTTTCGTGAATCTTTCCTAGAAGGAAATATTTTTATGCTACGACTTCTTGAAACTTTTCTACTATGCTTATCTCTGAAAGAAAGACGCATATCTTCTTGAAGTTTAGAAACTATTTTTTGCACTATATACATTTTTCAATCCATCATCCAAGAGGCAATATTCATCGTCAACTGTATAATAACTTAAAATGATGGTAGCAGCAGCAACTGGCGATGAGAATCGATGGACGTTTTCTGGAAGAAATGAATGGTTAATCATACGCATGTTATCATAAAAACATATTGCATGTTTTCTGAAATCGTATTTATTCATATGATTTCATCATATTATTATTAATAATGATATGTTGAAATATTACGCTTAATATGTTATAATGTATTTCTTACTAAGTATGCTGTATATTACGGCATGTTTGATAAAGAAGAAACAATGTTTGAGTATGCTCGATGCAAAGACGATTAGGTTTAATTTCCGACATATGGCAACAGTTACTTAAAACATTTTGTAGTCATAATAATCACAGTAATAGTTAGTTATCCATCATATTATCTGATAAAATACGTTAGTTAACTCTATATAGATTTTTGTTAATGTTGTTGTTATATTGTGGTAAATCTACAGTTAAGCAAAATTTGTAGCTTATGCTCTTAACCATCTAGTAACTATTGAATTTCTTTATGATTTTCCATCTGTAACGCATTAATAATATAGAGACGGAATCATAAACATATTACTCGAAAGAAAGTTATTGGCGTGGAAAGTGGAAATTCATGGATTGTTTCAGTGGTTATATTAATTCCTTTAGCTAAATTTCACCTTTTTAGATTAAAACTACATTGCTGAATTTCAATTTTAGTCCAAAATTGCAGCTATAAAATTTGGATTCTTTTTATGTCCATAAACCAGAAAAAAGCGCTTTATTTCAATAGTTGAAGAACTGCTTAATGAATGAATCAAACTGTAATCTTCTAATATTTACAATCAATATATATATAATTAAGTTAGGAAAACAAGTAATCCGACAAAGGTGCAATCGATGACAATATAGTATGTTGGCATACAATTTTTATAGCTTACTATTAATGTAAAATAATTTACACATTCGAACGAAGATAGTTGCAACATAACATAATCAAGATTTGAAGTGCGAAGGCAGAATGTGTAAGTTCATTATTAATAATGCTTTTCAATATAACACGCAATATAGTAGAAGAATAAGATGGATTTGCAAAAAAATTAGAGGGGATGATTTAAACAAAGTAAAAGGTGGAAATTTAGAGGAAAAAATATTGCAGTTTTAATAAACTGTAAGAAAATGTTCCAAAATAAAAAATAATCTCAAGCATTAAACACTAATTGTATTTCGAAACTTACAATAAATATTTCAATGCCATTAAATTTGACTAAAGAGATTCATAAAACTTATGAAATGAAAAACAGTAAGTTTCTATTAGAACAAACTTGTAAGAAAACATTAGAGCATCATAGCACAAATTCGTCAATGATAATTAGTTTGAACAAAAACCCTGCTATTTAATTTCGAAATTTACCAGGGAAATGCATTACATTTATATTTCATTTACTGTAAATAAAAAACTGATAATGCATACTAAAAAGAAGTTACAAACATTTAGATGATGAAATAGATTATGTTTCACTTTGGAATATGAATATGTGGCTGCAGTCCTCCGTTCAAACACTGTACTCTGTTGAATGTGTTGAGTTCTTCATCTATTATTTTCTGAAAGAAACAGAAAACAAACATCACTGTTATAGAACTTGATAAAGTTTATTTCAAGCTCTAAAGTCCCAGCACATATTAAATACATGAAATTAAAAGCGTCATTTATTAATTAAATTAATAGTTATCTTTCTTTCAATTTTTTAAATATGCGATTCATTTACATATGTTGCTAATTTATAAAATAACTGATTCATTTATAAAGAAAAACACTTATTGTGTTATAAATCACAAAATTGAATACAACAAAACCGAAAGAAAAGAAATCAAATCGTTGTCATTGTAGTTGTTATCAGGAAACAATTCAGACTGCCTTTTTAAGCACTTCCAAAGTTAAAAATTTTAACCGTGGGAATAATTTCATTAAGTCAATTGAATGGTTATAGAAATCAAAAGAATATTTTGATCTAAATGCACTATCTGTTAACATGTTTTCATATGACACAGATGTTTTCAAGTATTGAATGACAAACATTCTAATTATTGAAAATACAATAATTTTGCATTTCATTACACTTTTGTATAATGAAATGTTTGTTTGAACACCTTTTAAATGAAAAAATGACCTTTTTATATTTCATTTTTAAACGTTCCTTTCATAAAACATAAGCGCTTAATATTAACCTTTCACCATGTGTAATGTATATATGAGCAGTTTCCCTTAGTACGTCCTTCACGAAGGCATCCCTACCCTTAACCAGATAACCGTAGAGTGCTTTGCCATAATCGACTAAACCACACCACAACAAAGCTTATTCTTAATCTAAGATATTCGATATAATGTTTTGAAAGAATATTACAGAAGTGAAAAAAATTGCAAAGAAAATTAGAAGAATAACTTTATTAAATAATGCCTCATTCAAAAAAAAAAAAATAAGTAACAGTATTTAAAAATATTAGTCTATACATAGAGCGTCCTTTAGAAAAATGTTCACACACTTTAACAAATGGTATCTGCATAGCGGTTACAAGGCTGATGTGGATTATTGTAATAATATTTCAAAATATCCTATAAAATACAATAGACAATAAATTTCAAATAAAACAATACATTTTAGAATATCCTATAAATAATTCAGGCTTTTATAATTTTTAGATTTTAATTTTACATGTCTTTAAATGGGCATGTTCCTGCTCTTTTTACTTTTTCGGCGCAGCTTTCTATTAACTCGTCACGTGCAGCATTACACAGGGAAATAAAACAAATTTAATTACAATTCTACTAAAAATAGTAAACTAAATACAAAAAACGTAACAACATATATGTATCTGATAAAAAAGAGAAAAAGACGTAGCAGCAATGTTGTTTGGCGTAGACGTACAGATCCATATTGAAGAGAAAAAATTCTATTGCGTAGAATACTAATCCATAATGAATAGGAAATTCGGCGGTCGAGGCAGATTAAATCGATTTTTATTTAAATTCGCATCTATAGCCACAAATCACTTGGCACTCTAATGGTGCCTATTTTTAGAACATTTATATTTTTGAATACTATTGCCATAGGAAAAGAACACAGAGAAATGAAATGGCGTCCAAGTAGCAACACAGTTACAAGAAAAGTAAGTATTTATCTAATATGAGAGATCACTAAAGATGAAGGGGTTGGTTTGCGTTAGAAAGGTTTCAGTTCTCAGAGTTTAGGTTCCGAAATAACTACGTTAGCAGTGTTACGCAAGCTTTGTAGCATACATTAATCTAGAAATCGGGCAGTCCAGAAATGTTATTATTATATCTAGAATAAAGAGGAAATAACCAAATTAAAAAAGAGGAATTAAAAGCCTATTGCTAAATTAAATTATAAAGATGATTTACATATATTTTATCTTACGTAGATATACATATGTATGCATGTATGTAGGATGGAATCGTCCACAACAATCAGATGGTTCTGCAAGATGTGTGGAAGAACGTTTTAAGAATTCAGGCCTATCTTCAAGGCCTGCCAAACGTCATCTTTCAATAAGATAATGCAAGACCAGATGTTGCGCGTCGTGTTCTGTCCTTCCTCAATACACAGGGTATTCGATTGCTGCCCTGGCCTGCATGGTCTCCAGATCTGTCACCACCGAATATTGGTCATGGGTTGCTGAAAGACTGTTCCGCCAACCCTCTCCAGCTAATATGGTTGATGAAGTGTAGCATAGACTTGAAGCAGCAGGGAATGAGTTACCCGTTTCTGTCATCCAAGCCCAGTTCGACTACATGCCTAACCGGGTAAATGCCGTTTTAGCTGCCAGTGTTGGTAGATGTTTCTACTAATTTCGCCCGCCTGTAAACTCTCAAACTGATAACAAATTTAATAATTCTGTATTCATGCTATACTGTTTGCGTACAATAAATATCTTTTTTGTATTTGCTTTCCTTCATGGTGTTGCAATTTTAATGGTCAGCAGTGTAAAACAAACTGAAGAGAATTTATACGTTGACACACATAGGTCTCAGTCTATGAAGGTGTGGTGACAGATCGTTGTGGGTTCTTTTCACACCTTTTTTGGCGTCAAACATCAAATAAACTAGTAATACAGAGTAATACAGCAGAACAACTATATCTTTCATATAACTCGCAAATCTGCTCTTAAGATTTTTTATTTTATTTTTAAAAACACTTTCTTCATGATCTGTTTTTAAATGAAATTCAGTAATTGTTCCGCATGATCTCTTTTATTTTTTCTCTGTATTTCGCTGGCGTTGGCTTCTTGCAATCCACAGAACCACTCACTGCCTCACAGAAGTATTGCAACTGAGCGAGTAGATAGTACTGTAACTACAAATAAGTGAAACAGTTTTATCATTCATAATGCAATGAATATCTCTTTCGGTATATAACACTAAGATTAGCCGCCCAGATGTAAAGTGGTATTCTTTACCGAAAGGACCGGGGTTCGAATACCAGAAAAAGCATGGATGTTTGTAAATATATAGTGTCTGTGTAGCATCAGGGCATTCAAAATATACGCAGAGCCTAAAGTCCTTTTCAGAATTTCGTGGTAGGAGAAGACAGTAGGAGATCTTCAATCCTGTTTCCAGAGATGCTTTCCTTGACAACTGGAACATAATTGAGCAAACCAAACTGTCACCTGTATAATTTTCAAGTCGCTCGCCAAGCCCAGTCGCAAATTTGAACTCCTTGTCACAACAACTTGTTCGTGGGCTTGTAAGGTCAGACAAGTGAAATTAGTCGTAGCAACAGTAGAACTGAGGAATGTGTGCAGATGTTTATGCATAATTAGTTCAAAAAAAGAATTTAATAGATATTTTGAAAAATTTTCTAAAACACAATAAACCTTACTGCGTATAAAATTACATACCATAATGCAAACTTAGAGTAAAATAAGTTTTATATAAATCTCTGATATTCATATATGAAACGTAGAACGTCCGCTAGTAATACTGATTAAGTTAGGTAACATTATATAAACCAGATCAAATTGGAATATTTATTAAATTGTTGATTATTAGTTACTTATTGCTTATTAAATTAGTTGATTTCTTATTAAACTGATTAGTTATTTCCAAGATAAGCACACATTCATTTTGGCAAAATTTAAAATTGCATTCCGTAAATGAAATAATTGTGACAGAAAATTATTTGTTTTATTTTATTTTCATTGAATAATACATTACTTCATTGGTAAACTGTTTATAGATTCAGTATAAAATTTAACGGAAGCAGCAGAAATTAAAAATTTTGCCGTTTTTGAAATTATAAATATATCTAAGTTTCTTTTTTAAAGAGCACATTAATTAACAGCATGATATAAAACAGTAAATGTAAACAATATTTTAGCAAAAATATTGTAATTAGATTCCTGACTTAATTTAAATAATTAATAGAAAAAGTTGAAGACCAAATCAAATTTGAATTTTTAATATTTTAAATATTTAAATATTATATATATACTTTTTAATATTTTAAATAACACGAGTCCTACACGGGGGATATTGAAAATTTTAACCATTTATTAATCTTAAGGTTCATTTTAAAATATTCTGTTTACATAGTGAAGTTAGTAAGGGGAAAGGAAATTAGAATTTTTAAAATAATTTATGATTTATTTTTAATAATAACGTTGCCTTAATATTTTTCTTCTCAAATTAACTTGTGCTTTCAAATGCAAACCATTACTATGGAAATGCTAAATTAAGAAATGCTAAGATACCTTTTCAAGAGCAAATATCTTTAGACTAAAAACCGAAATACGTTTTAGAATTACCAGACAGAATGATCTACACTGAAACGCTGAATTATCGATTCTTGTATAATTTAAAGGATAGATGTTTCCTTAATTTAGTTTTAATTTAGATTATTGGCTAGTAATTTACCAAAATTACGAATTTCCTAAAACGTATAGATTTCTTTTGCGATATCCAAAATAGAATACATTTAAATGAGAAAATTAACTAATCAGTATTTATAAAAAGCAAATAATTAGGTCAAAAATTATGAATTTTATATTGCATTTCAAGTTTCAGAAATGCAGAAATTAAAAGTTCATGAAAGATTTCTTACGTTGAACATATTTGCATATTTTCATGATAATGACCCCCACCAAGCTAATCAACTCAAACATTGGTAGTTTCCTCTAAATTCGTTTTCTGGCGGATGATGATGTTAATTGTGCGAAGTGCTTCATAGGTTTTTCTAAAAAACTGAAACCGATGTCCAGTTTTCGTTAGAAATCTTGGGTATATAGCACTACTCTCTTTTGTTATTATTTAACAAGTCATTCTATTGAAAATTATTAAAGAGCATAGCAAGCCTGTACCATTCCATAAAATGAAAATTTTACCTAGTTGATTTTTCATATAGTGCAAGTAGTATATGAAAAAATTATCATATAGTGCAAGTCAAATGCTCTCATCTAATACGAATGTTTGTCCACATGTCGTGACTTGCACCAAGAATTAGTAAGTAAGCTTTAAAGCGACGTAAGCTTGAAAACACAGAGGATAAAAAAGTATATAGATCAATTTAGTCGAAAAAAATCTTCAATAT